CGTGCCGAAGAACGGTTACACGATGCTAACCAGCGTCGTACGAAACTAACGGAGTTTTTTACACTCAACACAAACGACGAGGAGGYAAGACAGTACCTGTATCACGAGATACCGGTACATTACACTTGGAACCAAGCGAACAGGAGATGGTCGCCGCGGCGACGACGGATGGCCAATGAGACGTTGGCTCGCATGTATGCCGTCAGCCCAATGKATCAGCACCGATTCCACCTACGACTGTTGCTGCTTCATCGTAGAGGCCCACAGTCTTTCCAAGACATAAGGACGGTCGACGGGATCGTACATGAGACGTATGGGGCTGCGGCAATCGCTCTGGGACTCATAGAAGACGACCACGCATGGCATGCGTGCATGGAAGAGTCTGCGGCGTTGGATACTCCCCTGCAACTTCGGTATCTCTTCGTCATGATACTGGTGCACTGCCATCCAGCGGAACCGCTGAGGTTGCACACGAGCAACGAGGAGAGCATGATGGAAGACTTCAATCGCCGTTTGCAAGACGTTGACCGCGCGAGGGCGGCGACTCTGAACGCCATTGGAGACCTTCTTCGGGTACACGGAAAAACGTTCGGCGATTACGGTTTTCCCAACCCGGACGTCCGTCTACTGGAACCGGAACAGGATGATCAACTGTTCGGTGTAATAGACGCGGTGGCTCGCTGGGCACAACGAGTGACCGACATGAACAACGAACAGAGAATAGTGTTTGACCGCGTCATGGCGGCAGTCGACGACAACCGAGACGTGGCAAAAACATTCTACGTCGACGGACCCGGAAGTACCGGTAAGACGACGCTTTACGGTTGCCTCATATGGACGCTCCGCAATCAAGGACGATCCGTATTGTGTGTGGCATACACAGGGATAGCCGCGTCGCTAATGGACGGTGGCATGACTGTGCACTCAACATTCGGATTGCCGTTTGGAACGCTGACCGACGACGACACATCCAACATCACCATGCAGTCCTTGCGCGCGCAGAGGATACGCGAGGCGGCACTCATCGTCTGGGATGAATCATCAATGTCGCCGGGAACACAGCTCACGATCGTCGATGCTCAGCTCAGGGATGTCATGGGATCACAAACACCGTTTGGCGGTAAACCGATCCTGTTCGCGGGTGACTTCAGGCAGATATTGCCCGTCGTGAGAAGGGGGACAAGAAGTTCCATCGTCCTGGCGTCAATCAAACAAAACTCTTTGTGGAGGAACACGGAAAAGTTTGAACTGACGCAAAACATGCGCGCCGGCAACGACCGGGACTTCGCGGATTGGTTGCTATTGCTCGGCAACGGTCAACTGCTCGAGGTCGACGGTATTCAGGACACGGCCAACATCCCCAGGGAAATGGTATGTAATATTGACGATTTTGTTGATTTTGTTTACCCGCAGCAAATGTCGTTGGCTAACGTCGACGGCTTTGCTCGGAAAATTGTTCTTTGTCCCAAAAACGAGGAATGCCGTCAAATAAATCACCAAGTGTTACAACGTGTTGTGGGAGTCGAAAGGACCTACCATGCCATAGACACGGTGGTGGCCGACGACCTCAACGAGGCCGCCAACTATCCGACCGAGTTCCTCAACTCTCTAGAACTGAATGGACTACCACCGTACACATTGACCCTCAGGGTCGGTGCTATAGTTATGTTGCTAAGGAATCTCGATTCAAGGAGACGATTGTGTAATGGCACGAGGCTGGTGGTCACCGAACTTAGGCAAAACAACTTCAAGGCGAAGATGTTGTCTGGTGGTGACCAGTGGTGACCAGTGGTGTAGTGGGGCGTATACGCGGGTATACGGCGTATAACCACTTCTCTGTTTTTCTGTAAGTGCGTATACTTATAGAATAACACATGATACGCGGGTATACGCGTATGGAAATGCATTTATTCTATAAACCAATTTGATAAATAATTTTTTTTTAAATGTACAAACCTTATCGATTTGACGGTTTCCCTAATGAAAACAGTTGCTTATACAGTTGTTATACTAAWGGTATTTTAGTATATATGAATGAATTACACTGTAATTAGACATTAATATCTATTACCTATACAATATAGCCGCTGGTATCTTGGCCGGGCGGTGGTAAACTCTCCCGATTTTTAAAATTAGTAAACTCTCCCGGGTAAATATTATGTTTACCTGAAAGAAATGTGCAAACTCTCCCGA